AAGGTATTGTAACATCTTTTTTTTCCTGATGAATTCTCTAGTGCTAGAGGTAATTCTACATTAGTAATATCATCAATGTTATCATTTAATTCTATTTCATTACTGAAATCACTTCCTTTTTGAAAGTTTATCTGATCTGACTCAATTTTTTGTTTTTTAGTTGAAATAACATTGCTGTCTTTATTCTCAAAATATTTTTCTCAATCTTTTCTAAGTAATCTTTTGAACTGTTTCCTGGTTTCAATACTATCAGGTAATCCAATTTGAAACTTGCTAACAGTTCCAGTTTTAATTCTTTGAAAATATATAAACTTAATGTCAATAGATGGTATTTTGTACTCTTTGATACATTTGTATTTACAATGAACTTCTTTATCACAATCATCTTAACAAATAAAATCATCACATTTTACAATTAGACATTTGCATACTAGTATATCAAAAAGTTTATCAAGTTTTTCTTTAAATTTTATCATTTGTTTAGCTCCTTTTTTTCTTGGACAAGCTATTGCTGAAACGTTGTTCCACAAAGTCACTATTTTATCACAAATTGTTTTGTCAGTAATTAATTTAGGCGATGTAAATTCCAAATTTGCACTCGACCATTGGTGTAATAAAGCTGGAAGTATATCTTTGGCCATCTCTTTTACAGGATAATTTCTTTTTTTTTATGTCTTCGCAGCCCTCTCTAAATAAAATTGCATATCTTATAACATCTCTGTTGGTTGGTAATTCTGAAACTAGAAATTGTTTTCCTGTACCAAATGCAACACTAATTTGCGTACAAGTACTTATTCTGGTTTTGGGTGCCATTATTCCTCCAAGGTATAAAATATTTAAAGAGAATTTATTATTGTTTAGTAATGAAAAAAAAAATTTTTTTAAATAATTTAAGAATGAAAACAATTGATCAATAGTTCTTAAATTTATATTTAACAATACGCAGTTCACAGTTGTTTACTAAATGCGGCAGTGAAAAATTAATTTACTGACCATTATTACGATTAAAAAATTATGTTTGGGTAAATTTTTTTTTAATAAAAAGTTATTTTGCGCATTTAATACAAAAATTTTTTAAATACTTTATACATATTAAGTTAAATGATTTTTTTATAAACTTAATGTAAATTTGTTTTGTTGTTTAAAAGTCTGTTTTTTTTTACATACAGTATTGTCCGCTAACGTCGTTATTCTGTTTAAAAGAAAATAAATACCGTTAATACTTTCATAAAAAGGCTAATTACCTAAGTAAATATTTTTCTGATTTAAAAAATTTTAACAGATTTAGATTCTCCGTAAAATTTCGCAACTTTTAGTTATACCCCAAATTTTATTAAACTTTTTTTTCAAAAAAAGTCTAAAATTGACACACCCTAATATATATATATATATATATATATATATATATATATATATATATATATATATATATATATATATATATATATATATATATATATATATATATATATATATATATATATATATATATATATATATATATATATATATATATATATATATATGTATATATATATGTACATATATATATAGAAACCAAATTCTTGAAGCAGATGCTTGAAGAAAAAATAGGACAAATAAGAATGTTTAGAACACTTAGGAACAGTCACATTAAAAGTTTCAGACTTAATAAAGTGACGAGTAACACAAGTATGAATTTTAGTAGATGGCACAAAAGATGCTAGCTCTTTAGAGAAGTGCCCATTATAGTATTTATAGAAAAGGAAAAGAGAAGCAACATTATGACTATATGATAATGGCTGGAGGTTAGCTGCATGAGAAGGTCCAACTATGCTTATGATGCATTTTTGCACTTTCTCTTTCGTCAATAAGAGAAAGAGCATCATTCGAAGATCAGCCATATGATATAGCAAAGATATGGCAACAGTATTCCATACAAGGACAGATTTGAGATTTATAGAGATAAAGAATAGAATCCGGAGAAAAAAAGTGGCAAGTGCAATAAATAGAAGCAAACTTAGCAGATGCTAATTTTGCAATTGATTTAATATATAGTTTCCAAAAAAGATTGGAAGTAAAAGTTAATCCTAGAAGATGAAGATTAGATGACTTATCGAGTACATTACCATACATTACAAGAAGATATAGATAGTTGCGATAATGATTAGCTAAAAAAAATTGAGTTTTATCTGAGTTAAAGTTCACCAGCCACTCTGAGCCCCATGCTATAGCAGAAGTGAGATCCTTGTCAAGCTCAAATGCACCCTCAAAGCAATCAGAGAATGTTAGCTTCTCAAGACAAAAATAAATTGTAGCATCATCAGTGAACAATGACACCTTAGATGTGAGAATATCAGGAAGATCATTAATGTAAATTAAAAAAGAGTATAGAACCTTAAGAAAGCCCTGAAATGAGAGGATATGAAGAAAAGTGCTGTCCATCAAGGACAACTTTAATATTTTGATTGGTAAAGAAGGATTCAAGAATCTCAAAGATGTTACCTAATACAACTTAAGA